ACATACCATACGTCATTATTCTATGGAAATAGCTAAAGTAAACTAGTCTAGCTGTTTCAACACTGGTAAGATTTCTAATCTTTTTTACAGCATATGCTGCGTAAGTAAGTCTGTTTCCCAGTTTTGATATATAAGGGCTTCATTGAAGCTCGCGTCTAGTGTATAAATATTTTAATTTCCTTAGCTTTTTGTCTAAGTGACTGTTTAGGTTTTAAATCACAGATTGCCCTTAATGGCACTCTTCTGTAAAACAAATATAATTTCAGTGTCTGTCGCGAGTCCCCATAGCAAAATACCATTCGACATTATGCTATGGAAATAGCTAAAGTAAACTAGTCTAGCTAGCTGTTTCGAAACTATTACGTAATTTGCAAAAACTTAAACAATAACATTTTTATGGGTCTTAACTAAATAGTGCATCATATGAAAATGGATAGGGTAACATTTTATTTCAAAAGGAAAAGATGGAGTATCAAAATCAGCTGACACAAACATTTTAAACCATGACCCAATCGAACTCCTTTTTTTACTAAAACAAAGTTCATTCTATAGTTTGTGACTGCGATAAATTGCTTAGTTACAAAACTACCCGTAAAGCCGAAAGGAGGATATGCAAACCCTATTGCAGTAAAATTAGAGTCAACTACGCAGAATGTACCTACATTTGGACCTAATTCGCGGAATGACAAAAATTTTAAAAGACCTAATCTAACGAAACAACTAAGCGAACACTTACTTTTTCATATCAAACTTCAAATTTACAGAAACGGCTCAAAGTGTGGTCCGCCTTGCTCAATACACAACCTCACTCGTCGGGATATGGCTTGTGTGGCATTTCGCACCATCGTCGGTGTTATTGATGCGAAAACCGATCTAATACGCTGTTCCATCTCGGCAACCGTTGGGCAATCGGAGAAATACACTCTGTTCTTCACATAACCCCACAAAAAGAAGTCCAAGGGTGTGAGGTCCGGAGAACGAGCAGGCCATAGCATAGCACCGGTTCCCCCGGCTGATCCATCCTCGCGGAAAGCGAACGTTAAGATGTTCTCGTACGTTGCGAACAAAATGTGTCGGAGCTCCATCATGCTGAAACACCATGTTACTTTGGTTCTCAAAGTAATCCCAGTCAGCCACAGGAAAGTCGTCAATCGCCTCTTCGAACTCCGTTTGTATAAACATTAGATAGTTGCTACCGTTCATACGTGATGGCATAATGACGGGACCGATGACATGCCCTTAATAAAGGCCAGCCCACACATTCAGCCGCCACTGGTGTTGGAATCTGCATGTGAATTCACGCGAACCCAAACATCATCGTTATGCATATTTGAAAGTCCTGACCTCGTGAATGTTAACTCATCCGTCCAAAGAACATAGTTTACGTAATTAGGGTTTCCTCTAACTGCCTGCCTACCACTCGCAGAAGTTCCTCTTGGGTGCAAAATCGGAGGGTATCAGCTCCTGTGTACGGCGATAGTGATAAGAGTGACGATTGTCGTCACGAAGAATACGCCAAACTGCAACATTGTTTATAACGAATCTTGTTCCAGCTCGCCTCGTACTTGTGGTCGGCTCTTCTTCAAAATGCTCTAACACTAATTCAGCCTGCCTGGCGTCGACTGTGCTTGGACGTCCACTTCCAGTAGACTGATGAAAAGAGCCGGTGGAATGTAGTCGCCTTGTTGTAATGTTTTCAGAAACTGTATTTCTGAAAACATGTTATTAGTATTTTTATAGGAGAGGGGGCAAACGAGCATGCAGTTCACCTGATGGTAAGTGACTACCGCCGCCCATGAACAACTGCAACACCAGGGGAACCAGGGGAATTGCAGATGCGTTGCCGGACTTTTAAAAAGGAGTAGGCTCTTTTCTTGAAGGTCCCTAAGTCGTATCGATCCGGAAAAATCGCTGATGGTAATCGTTTCCACAAGAAAGTTGTGCGAGGAAGAAAACATCTTCTAAATCGTACAGTGGTGGACCGCCGATCATCCAGGTGGTGTGGATGGTATCGGGAGTTCTGCCGCGATGTGCGTTCGTTAAATTTGGCGGCTGGGATTAATCCGAACAATTCCTCAGAGCACTCCCCGTGCTAAATGCGAAAGAAAATGCTAAGGGATGCAACATCTCTTCGCAGTGCCATGAATCGAGCCAATCGGAAAGGACTCGGTCGTCAACGATTCGAGCCGCTCTGCACTGAATGCGGTTAAGTGGAAGGAGCTGGCACTGGGGAGCCCCTGCCCAGAGATGGGAACAGTATTCCATGTGAGGCCGAACCTGCGCCTTGTAAACTTGCAGGCGGTGTGCCGGCATGAAATACTGTCCCGCTCTGCTGAGCACGCCAAGCTTTTTAGAGGCCAATTTGACCTCTTCCAAGTGACCACGAAACTGCACGTCACTCGATATGTCGACTCCGAGGATTCCGATACTGGCTGAGGCAAGAAGGGGAGTGCCTTGAAACTGTAGAGATACGACAAAGGGGTTCTTCTTAGCGGTAAACACGCAAACTTGTGTCTTCAGAGGATTAAACTGAACTAGATTTAGTAGCTCCCAATCCGAGACTTTGTTCAGCAAAGACTCGACTTCAGACACAAGTTTGTTCAGGTATTCGGCGACGTTTTCCCGAGAAATATTAGCACGGCCGGTGTATAGAGCATCACCAGTGCTGTCATCCACATAATTAATAGGTTTGTAGTCGGAGCATGCACCGTCTACAACGACCGTGATGCTCCGATCTGCAAGGAAGCTGGTGATCCAATTGCACAATTTTTCAGGAAGCCCATAGGAAGGGAAAAGGGGCATGTATTAAGTCTTAATTTTTTATTTTTAACTTTAAATTGTAATCACTTTGTTTTTCAGAGATTAAACTTACTTTTTCAAAATCACAAAAGAGTTTTTAATCGAAATATTTCCGAAGAAGGGACAACGTTACCCTTGCTAAGGTAACATTTCCGAGTTCTATAATCGAATTTTGTTGCACTGTACGTGTGTAAATATATAGCCGTAAAGTTGAAAATATTTATTAGCAGGCGCTAAGAAATAATGTGCATTTGACACCTTTAGCACTATAATATCAACAAGGATTTCAATTAAAAACATGGAATTGTAACCTATTTACATTTAAATGTTATAAAAGTTTAACTACAAGACTTTATTTCAATATTTTTCAACAGTTTCAACTTGTTCTTGTTAACTTTCATTTAAATTTTAAACTTGCAACGAAACTTACAAGTTCATCTGCATTGCACACGCATAAAGTAAGTTCCTTATAAGATTTATGCCCGCATAATTATTTTTGTAGTTTTTTGTTTTTAAATTGCCATATTCTGAATAATAAGTTAAATAAATTCAGAAATAACTGTAGTTGTTCTTTAAAATATCTTCATTTTAAATCTTACTAATAAAAGTTATAATTTGACACTGTGTTAAAATAAAAAAGCATAACTGAATAAAACTGTCTAAGGATTTTATCGCCTTTAATGTACTTATTTTAATTCCCGACTTCAAGATACTGTAAGAATCTACAATAATGCTATTTACTTATTTTCTTTTTTATATTCAATTTTATCTATTTTGAAACACTTTCGCAGTAGCGAATAATTTACAGTAATTTGTTTCCGTGTAGTGTCAAAGTAGGAGAATCCATTACCCAATTATGCCCCGTGTGTATTTTAAGAAGCGATTATGAGAAATATTAAAAGTTACGACGGTATATTTATTTCGTTTATGTCAGACGTACAATATTCACTCTCCTGCGAGTAGACACGAAACTTAGATAATATTTTGCAAGAGAGAATGGAGAGCTAAAAGCTTTTCTTAGCTTGATGTACCCGTATGAATTTATAAAGAAATTTTTAATTAATTTTTCACCTGCTTCTTCACATTTGAATTTTCTCAAATTATGCAGACGTATTAGGAACTAGAACCGATGATGAAACAATAATTTTATGTCTAAGCCTGAATAGGGGGTCACCCCAGTTTTATTATTGATTAATTTTGCTTTGCATTATTTTTCATAAAATACTTGCCAGTATATTACAAGTCTATGTACCTACTAAAATATACATACGGATTTTTCTATAAAGATTAAATGAAGAACCCAATATTAACAGGAAGTGACACTGTAATTTAAACATTTTTTTTAATATCTTTTTTTATTTAAATATATTTACAAAAATAAATTAATTAATTTTCTTCGTCTTTTCAAAATAAAAAAGCTCCAATAATGGTATTTAATTATTTTTTATATTCAATAAATAATACACAAGTTTAATTGTTTTATTTGAATAAGCTTCAGTTCAGCTGCTTTTTATTTTATGTTAAAAATTTTAATCCGGTTAATTTTACACTACTAGACAATTTTAATAATTATACTATTATTAAACAATTTTTAATACGCATCCTCTAAAATTTTTTGTCATTGTTATTCCAGTTAAAGGCCTTTAAGCACCTTTAGCGGTTTTCTTAAAAGCAGTTAAGGTATTAAAACCGCCTTTTAGTTAAATTTTAGTACATAACTACGCATATAAAAATATTTTTAATGCTTTTAGGCGGCTAAGGTATGGTAAGCGACTTTTTAGTGTCGTATTACTTAATAAACATAACCTCTACTATAATATTATAAATGTGAATTAAAATTGGGGTTGCCAACCCGCATACTAATCGTGGCAACTATGGCAAATGTGGAGATACGAATGAGGCAACTACGGGAAGGCATATATTCTGCAGTGAACTTTTATAGGCTTGAATTATGATGATAATGATGAAAATATGTTCACTTATTTGTAGTTTGGCTATTTGTTATGAGAAATACCTTTGTGATAACGATGTGATCATCATTGTAAAAATTTCGATTCATTCATTGTCATCATAACAATTTTCAGACGGAGATAAATGTTAAATGTATCTGTAAAAATTAATTTTATACATACATTAATGCGGGCTGTGTGTTCGCTTGTTACACCTATAAAACTTGTATTTATAAAAAAAACAATCAATTATCATAATCTTTTATAAAAACACAAATAATTAAAACAACATAAATGTGTAAACCATTTTATTAGAGGCAGATTATGTGTATTTTAAACTTCACAATCTGTGTATTATTGAAGTAGAATTCTAACATATATACAAATTTATTATGTAACACTGTAATTTAAGTCAATGTAACGACAGTAAAATCTTTAATTAAACAATGAATTAAATTTCAACTTTTTAGTACACAATCATTCTTGAGAAGACAAATCATTTTCGAAATGATCTTTTATAATTTAATAACTATGATGGCGTGTTATAGAATTTTCCTCATTATGAATTAACATTATAATATTTTTTGCAATCCTGCAAAATTTATAATACAACGCTTCAAGCATTTTTTACTTTGCGTAATGTATAGGATATATTTTAGAAGAAACTTTTTAAACTATAAAAACGCAATTGAAAGAATATCTACAGCAAATTCAGTCTTCCTGTATACATTTCATATCTAAATTTAAGGAAACTACAAATTAGATTTAGCATGTCCTAAAATTGACAAACGATACTTATTGATCATATCTGGCGTATAATAATTAAGTAAAATTATTTTTACGAAATATAATAAGCTATGTATACAAACTATTTAATTTATAAATGAACCAATTTGGTACAACTTTACTGAACGTCTTCATATTGTCACAGTTTAACTATAAATAGCTATTATATGTGTATATATATTATATGTCTATAATTTATGTATGGTTATGTTAAAAACAATAAAGTTAAAACAATAGGAATATCTACATTCACAATTAAAAGTAACTTAGAAAATTATTGGAATGAATTAAATATTTTACAGAATAGCATGTAACATAAGTTTTTAATAAGTATAACGCTTTAAAAATAAGATACAGTTTGTAGTTATTTAAACTGTTACACAGTTTATTATTCACACCGTAGTATTTTATCTTAGAAGAAAATAATGAGATAGATGGATTACGTATTAGCATATTATTTATTCTGTGGTAAATAGTAACGGGTGAAGCCAGCTAAGGCAGTACCAAAAACTATTTATCCCACAACACCAATCAGCCGCATCAGAAAGCGTATTCTACCCGTAGTAAAAAATAAACAATTCTAACTACTTATATTATACAGAGTCAAAATGTGAAATGCTTTTTTGTTACTCCTTTAGTTGGTTTCACCTTTTCTGTACGTTCTGCATGTTTACTCTATTTTATTATTTTAGTCTTTAATACAAATTAATACGGTACTGTAATCTCTACAATTAATTTTAATTCTTAAATAGTTTATTCGTAAAATAAAATCATTAAAAAAATCATCATATCATGTGTTCTACTTACTATAAAACAAACTATTGTAATTACTTTGATATAATTATTTTACTGATTAATAATTTTACCTTGCGACATTTATTTTTTCTCAAGCAAATCATGGACGTAATAGTTATTGTATACGTGAAGTATAAAGGTTTTTCACACATAGGTATAGAATCATATTATAGTATATAACATGCTTAATTTAACTCAATTTGTTTTTTATTTCTACGTTGAGTAACTTTACTGTTTATACCTATTTAAAAGAATTAGGCGATTTATATAGATTAAACATTAATGCAATTTGCAATAATAGACATTACATTTACCAGAACTGCATAATATTTACAAACAGGGTAAAATGTTTAAAAATTATTCAATTAATTCAGAAAACTTATTGCATTTAATTGAAATTGATTAAATAATCTGACTTCAATCTGACTTGAAACACAATATATAAACATGTTACTGTATTTATAATATAACGACTAGACGAGAAATCGTTCTTAATCTTCTTTTTAAGATAATTATTAATAATTTAATAATAAACTTTTCTCCTGTTTTGAAATACTTAATTTTTAACGCCAAAAACTTTTAAGTAATTGTAAATATACTCGTAAATTTCATTCAAATTAATAAATTTTAGGTTCTTACATAATTCAAAAACTGAAAGTAATTTTTATTTATTTCAATGCAGGGCCATTTAAAATTTTAATTAATTACATCCAATAGCTAAAAGGCTGGCAAAAAGCACAGTAAAGGAGGCAAATAATTTAATGGCATTGCTAGTAGTTTTAATATTGGAAGATATGATGTCCACCCATTCAGAGTGGCCGGCTGCATTGCGTGTACGAACTCGGGCGTGAAAAGTTGTGCTGTTCGGTAGCTCGCCAACCGTGAACAACGTGTCTGTACAGAGAAAAAATATTTAAACTACCTTATTAAGAACAGTAATATAGTGTACAATTTTGTGTATTTTTTACCATTAGGAGATAGAATATCGGCATCGAAAAATAATGCCTCGTCCCATTGTGGAGGGTAATCAGCTCGTACTGGCACTAACTCGAACGAGTAACCTGAAATAAAAATTGTTAACGAATTAACAACACTGAGAAATATGTAGGATCACAAATAATTTTTATATTGTGTTTAATTTGTGTGGGGTCTTTCATTAATGAACATTGTTTCATCAAAGATAGACTTTAGAGGTGCGGTTGAAAATAATAGGTTTATATATAAGAAAATATCACTTTTGCGTATTTGCTTCATTACGTGACTAATTGGCCTTTGATCGTGTTTTTAATTCGAATTCTAACCGGACTCAATATCCATGTAAAACTCAAATTCTTGCAAAACTCAAAGATCTTGTCGGGTATACGTTAAATTGGTCACAAGTAAGTTTAAGAAGGGCAAAGGCGCTTAGGTTATTGTGTACACTTCTGTCACTATAATGTCTCTACGTAGTTAATAACTTCTGATATTATTCGAAAGCTGTCGCCGTAGATGTTATTAGGAGCACATTCATCGTGCTAATAGTTGCTGATATTAGAAATACCGCGAGTAGTAGAAAACTTCTATTTTTTTTTAAATTTAGTTTTTAATAATATAGCACTTTTTTTAAATTTTACCATTAACAACAAGGTTAGCTGGATCTGGGGCCTTATCTTCCTCAAAATCCATATTACACGTTGAACAAGTTACGTTAAATGTGATTGTGCTGACATTAGACGCATAAACACTGACCTGAAAGAAAAAAAAATATTTATCAGTGATATCACTATTATATCCTTAACTTACTTAGTGTCGATAAAGCACGGGCTTTAGCCGGTGCGTTTTGATAAATATTTCATGATTTCTTTAGTTTACGCCAATATCACAGATTTATCATGTTTTTTTCTTTTTATTTTACATTCCCAGTGTTTTGAGTGTTTTGCAGCACCCATGGTCGCGGGGGGCTGTGAAGTTCAACACGCAAACTTATAAGAAGTGATAAGTTAAATACTTCAGCTTTCAATTATTAATTATTGGTCCAAATCCATACAAAATGACCTTACTGTACAAAAATGCAAGTTGTATGCTTATGTTTTGTTGTATTAATAATAGAATCCTAGAACATATGAATAGAAACAAAAAAATTAAACGTGATAAAATCTGTAAAAAACATTGCTGTGACAATTAATTTCATTTAAAAAATATAGGTATTAAAATAATAGGTAAGTACATTTAACCTACATGATCAGGTGGATTAGGTTTGTTGCCTTCTGTGACATGGAACACAACCGAAGCTTGTCCCTTAGGATTTTTTGCAGTGCACTTGTACTCTCCGTATAAATTTTCATCATGCATTCTGAGCACAAGAACAGACACATTGCCACTTGGAGACGTCAATACCTAAAAAAAAATTTATATAAGTATTTAAAGTTATTAATCTGTTTTTTTTAAAGACTAGTAAGCATACTGGCTATTTCAGGAAGGGATACTTTAAATCTTCTTACATTTGTCCAGTTTATTGTACCACACATAAATATAAGCAAGCTATTCGTGTAATTTTCTCGACCCTTCTTAAAGACGGGGTGAATCCCTTATGTCACCACCATAATGACTTACAAAAAACACGCAAACGAGAACCTACCATGAGTAAAATCATAGGTCGATAATTAGCAACTATAGGATTTAAAATATGCAGCAGCATTCTTTAACACAAATCATCGTAGGCCTGGGTGGACTATGAGTGTTAACTATCAATCAAGATAAAACTTTACCACCATCATCATCATTACAGCACATCACCTGCCAAACCAAGCTACCTGCATTCATTAAATATCTACACATTTCACCAGGTCGTCAGTCCATCTATAGGGATTGCTCTAGACTACGCTTGTGAGTATGAGGCTGCGATCAGTTGTCTTTTCGTCGAGCTATATGTCCCGTCGATTGCTACTTCACCCGCTGAGCTATATCAGTTACTCTTGTTCTTCTGCGTATATATTATATCACGCAGATAAATTTTGAGCATATACCTTTTTATCGCTCGCCGAGTGACTTTTAGCTTCCTTGTACGGCCAGTAATAAAGTAGCACGTTTTGTTCCCGTAAGTCATTACTGACAATACGCACTGGTAATAATAATATTATAATCTTATATAATATAGATAAATAATTTATTACTTTAAATAAACACGAAAAATGGTGTATATGTTATACCTTCTCCTCATCTTCAATAGGCTCATCGAATTCATTTTCATGTCGCCTAGACCAACTAAAAGTTGGAGTAGGGTGAGCAATTGCACTGCATGAAATATTCTTACTGAAAATTTAAAAAGAAAAGTAATTTAATATTTCAAACAATTAACTTTAGATTGTTGGCATGCAACATGAAATTGTGGGTTCCGTTTTTTTTTTAGATACTCACTGAAACAATATATAATAATATACTCTTACACAACTATTTTTTTTCGTCTAATGATGTACATGATATTAATAAATGACGATGAACGGAACAAAATTATTAAAATTGTGTCATTTCTGCTCAGTTCCCCATTGCTGTTTTGTCATTTAGTTAACTATCTGCTAATTTATCGTAGTTCATGAGTAAACTAATATTTATAAAATAAATTACTATTAAATGTAGAGCGAACACTTATTAAATTCATAAAGATTGTGTTATTCTTACGTTTCGTTCAAAATGGCATAAACTTCTTCGGTCCTGTATGTTGAAGAATAAATTTCTTCAGTGTCACTATTAAAAAGAATTGGCTTATCTGAAATCAATTTGAAATAATTATATTCTCTAATGGCATCATATTAAGTTTTTAACAAAGGAATTAAACTTACGTTGAACGGTGAGCTGTACACGTTTATCAGTATAATATCGCAGAGCATTTTGCGTGACCTTGCATACATATTCACCAGTATCTTGATGATTTAGATCCTTAATTTCTAGTTGGTAATTATCCCCCTTCTTCCTCACGACATACTTTTTGGATTTATCTTTCAAAACAAAATTAGAGTGTAAATAACATAGTAATAAAATAGAGAGTTTCTCTAATATAAAAAAAAAACTTACCTGATATAACTTCGATATCTTTGTACCATTGAACAACAGGTTGTGGCTTTCCCTTTGCCTCACAGTTTAATCTTGCCGATTTACCCTCTTCACCTTCGAAGCTTTCATAACGATTGGAAATATTAACTTTTTCTGAAATGAGAACATTTTTCGATAAGGTATTTTACACGATAAGTGTATTTATTAGATTAATACAATATGTCTTAATTGTTTTAATAGAACCGACTTATTATAACTTAAATAATTGTAAATATTTATGATATAACAAAATAATAAAAAAAATCTTATCAATGTGGTATTAAATAATGAACCACAAGTTCACGAACATTCGCATGAAACAACCGATGCAAAACCGTCACTATTTTGATAAATAGCACATAGAAAATACTATATTTTGAAAATTGTTTATTTTTAGTTAATGAATACTATTTAATATATTAAAATACTACAGTTAAGAATACTAAAAAAATTCGTGAAGTAATGAAACAAAAAGCAAAAAATATTTCTTTTTGTTTTTAAGTTACCTCCAACCAGAATTTCAATGGTTTCATTGAGGTCGCCGGATTTACAGGTCCAGTTGCCACTATCTTCAACCTTTATACTGTGAATAATCAGAGGCAATAGTGTATCATTCTTCTGCCTTTCTACGTATACTCTGGTGTTTTTGGTAGATCGACCCTCGACTGGTTCACCCGAGGGTGAATACCATTCTAAACTCTGCAACATATATTATGAATATATGTTATTGATACTCACGTGATGGTAGCATAATAGAAATCATAACAATCTTAACCAGTTAATGTCGTAAGAAGCGACTTAGCGAAAGTTCCGGATGCTCTGGGATCTTATACTTCCATTTTTACAGATAGCGCTAGTTATACCAGATATAATAACTCCAGACCAGAGATAATAAGCCGTGTATAGCGATCGCTAATACAATTGCGAAGCCAGACGATAATGGCGAGTCTTCTCTACCGTGAGAGAGGCTGATAGTCAGCTGTGGTCTGCTTAAGGGCTGGGTAAAAATGAGAAATATTGATGGCGCCGTTACATATGTGTAATCATATTTTTCTATTATGTATGACACTGATTCTAAAATACTTTTGATAAGAAGAGAAAAGTAACTCATCTACAATATTATATATACATATATATTTATCAAAATATACGTTGTACCTAAATACACTTTAAGAGTATCGTGATGAGGACAAAAATAAACGAATTCTCTTTGAAATGAGACCTAAAATATAAATCAACGTTGCATAGATTTTCAATAGAATAATTAATTACCTGTTGGAGATTTTGTCCCTTGCAATAAATAGCTTTTTTCTCTCCAGCATTATACACGGATGATCTTGCTAAAACCCGAAGAGATGGCGTGCCATCATTTTCTTCTGCTAATGTAACTATAAACATAATTAGTATATTTCATTACACGATTATTAAAAAAAGTTATTTGTTTAAATATATATATTAAAAAAATATGCAAGCGCCAATTAAGACACGATTAGAGTAGCCAACTATTGGAACGTGAGTCTTGGACTCAAATTAAAGTCATAGTTTACAAAATAATGGTAAAAATAAACAAATAGCTGGTTTTCGAATATTTACGAGTATGTATTCTCAATATCTCGTGTCATCTCGTTAACATTATGGATTTTGCAGTAACCCTTTAACCCCCTCCCCTTCCAACACTAGATGGAGTAACTTAGATACATGTGTCTAAGTACCGTGTTTTGTGGCATTACTTGCGGAAGGCCTATTTACTTGTGCATATAAATTATTCAGTAAAGACATTTCTTCATAAAGATCATTAAATTCATATCAATATATGTGGAGATCAAAACATTTAATTATGTAAACAAAATGGTCATATTATTATTTTTTTTTATATAGGAGAGGGGGCAAACGAGCATGCGGCTCACCTGATGGTAAGTGACTACCGCCGCCCATGAACAACTGCAACACCAGGGAGGGAATTGCAGATGCGTTGCCGGCCTTTTAAAAAGGAGTAAGCTCTTTTCTTGAAGGTCCCTAAGTCGTATCGGTCCGGAAAAATCGCTGATGGTAATCGATTCCACAAGAAAGTCGTGCGAGGAAGAAAACATCTTCTAAATCGCACAGTGGTGGACCGCCAATCATCCAGATGGTGTGGATGGTATCGGAAGTTTTGCCGCGATGTGCGTTCATGAAATTTGGCGGCTGGGATTAATCCGAACAATTCCTCAGAGCACTCCCCATGGTAGATGCGAAAGAAAATGCAAAGGGATGCAACATCTCTTCGCAGTGCCAATGAATTGAGCCGATCGGAAAGGGCTCGGTCGTCGACGATTCGAGCCGCTCTGCGCTGGATGCGGTCAAGTGGAAGGAATCTGCGCCTTGTAAAGTTGCAGGCGGTGTGCTGGTATGTAATACTGTCTCGCTCTGCTGAGCACGCCAAGCTTTTTAGAGGCCGATTTGGCCTTCTCTTCCAAATGACCACGAAACTGCACGCCACTCGATATGTCGACTCCGAGGATACCGATACTGGCTGAGGCAAGAAGGGGAGTGCCTTGAAACTGAGGAGATACGACAAAGGGGTTCTTTTTAGCGGTAAACGCGCAAACTTGTGTCTTCTGAGGATTAAACTGGACTAGATTTAGTCGCCCCCAATCCGAGACAATTCAACATAGCATTTAAATGTATGATGCTCAGTGAATAGATCCAATTTGTGTGACGACTGAAATGTAAGCTTTAACAAGAAATAATTCAATAATTTAATTAATAAGTTCATTTAAGACCAACAGATCAGAATGGGAAAGTTTTCAAAAACCAACAACGCGAGAAAACAGTAAGTTTTCGTTGATGTTTTAGATTGCCTTTAAAATTAAATCAGCAGGTTTTTTTTATAACCTTGTGATCGTCTAAGGTACCACTGGCTGTTAAAAATAGTGTTGCAGTCTTGGATAGTAAATCGCAATGGCTTAGTAATGCAAGCATATTTCTTCTTCTCTAAAGTTATTTCTCTATAATGTTCTGATCTAAATATTCTGACGTCTAACCTTTTAACATTTTTTTTCATGATTACCAGGATCACATGAAAAAAAGTATTCGTAATTTAATATTTAAATGTCTTGTGTAGGGTATAAAATTAGTATTCTTATTTTAATTATACCTATTTGTTGTACCTATGTTGTGTAAACGTCAGTGGTGGGAACTGACTCGTCGGTGTAGTGGTCGTAAATGCAATTATTAATCATGAGGTCGTGGGTTCGAATCCCGGGTTGGAGTCATTGGGTTTTCCTCTCAAGAAAGGAAGGTCGAATATTTGGTGATTTCACCCCCGTACCAAGAAAAGCACGTAAAGCCATTGGTCCTGCACCTCGATCTCTCTCCGGTCGTGTCCGAATACCGTCTCATCGGACTATGAGAGTGAAGGAATAAGAGTGCACGTGTGCTTGCATATACACTTAGGCATTATAATCCTATCTTGCGCAGATGGCTAGTCTCCGTTAAGACTGGCTGCCGTGTCCTAAATTCGGTCTGTAGGATATTATTATTAAACGTTAGTGGTGAGTGTGAAAAAGTTCAAAAAAAATATATTTTATGTCAATAAGGGTGACAAACAGACAAACGATTACTCAGTCCACCTGGTGGTAAGTGGATTATGTAAGACCTATCCCGGGTTAAGGAGCAAAATGCAGATGCGTTTCCACCCTTCAAGCTTAAGATATAATGAATCGTTACTGGTCAAAGAGGTCTTTGGTTCTCCATATTATGCGTCTCAATTACGTTGGTATTGGCTGTACTTCCAGTCGAGCGTGATGCAGCCTGTCTGCAGAGTGGGTCTACTTTTTTTTAGAGAACTTAGGAATTTTCAAGAAATAACCAAACTTACAGTTAGGTAAGAGGGTAGGCTAGTGCTGTCCAAACACACCTACAGCCAACTTCAGAAAAAGAAAACTACAGGTAAATCACCTGTGCGGACTCTGATTTAATACCTCACATCCTGTTATTCTACTGGTTCATAGTATACTCCTGAGACTGGAACACTGCAGTACAAACACTGCTGTTTGACGACAGAATTATATAAGAGTGGGGTACCCAAAAAAATGGACCCCTAGACATCAGCACCTAGTAAACTTCGTAAAGTAACCCTAAAGAAAGAAATTAATTTTTTATAGATTGATGAGTGATGATGAGAAAACTACTTCGTCATACGTTTTTTTTTTCAATATGAAGAAATTATGTACACACGGAAGAAAAAAAAGTCGAATGTAAGTTCGAAGATTTCTGTGTGAATGTGATTGTGTAACTTTAAGCAGACCAAACTGGAAATATGTTTTTCGGTAGACAGCAGAAGTAATAAAAGATAAGGTGCTGGGTCTGAGATCGAGACATTTTTTTTTTAAATTAAAGGTACAAATGAGCAAACAGTTCACCTGATGGTAAATGACAAACAATAGAAGGCCAAGATGCGTGTCACCTCTAATGATTTCACATCAAATACCTTTCAACCCGAAAAAAAATATCTATATAAATAAAATTATTGTGGTTTGATTTGTGCGCACATCACTGAAAAACTACTGGATAGATTTCAATTACGTTTTCTAAGTTTTATTGACACTTGACCTTTATCTAAAAAAATAATTATTGCGACATCTTCATTCAATATAAAGTTATAATTTTTTTTAGAAACAACATTTTTTATGCACTACGTGTCCAGTGATGTGTGTAAGCAACGCGGACGACGTCGCGGGTATCTGCTAGTAATTAATAAACCGCCGTAGTACAGTACTGTACCGTGCCGTAATGAACCGTGTAGAATGTACAACCAGTAACTCGAGTAATTAAAGTAGCTTAAAGTATTTTAAACGATTAGATCTAGAATTAAAAGGTTTAAAGACTCATAATATGACTTCTATTCGACGTGTAAGTACTTGTCCTCTTGTTTCCATTTAGAATATAACTTAAAAATACGTTAACAATGTGGATGCGACATTACATATATTTAAAAAAATAATGAGGCAAAATGGAATAAATACTACAATGTGATAATGAGTAAATTTATCCTCATCATTATCATAACAGTCCTTCACAAGTCTATTATAGCATAATAATGTTTTATTCTCTCTATAAATACTTAACATCTCAATTATTGTTCTATTATAATTTGGAAAAGAATCCACTCCAAAGAATAGAAAAATATGGAATGAAGATTTAATGTTACCCTTATTATAAGAATAACATAATTTCTACGTGATTTAATAGCTTCTGAAGTGAAGTGAAATGAAATGAAATGAAATAAGAAATCCCTTTATTTTTCAACTTAAGAAATTAAAATTTCGCTTGTTAAACTTCAACATATTTTTTAATCTTCCGCCGTTTAAAAACGATGTTCCTCTGTTCTGAGAAGTAAAGGCGAGACAAACTCCGAACTCTTTTTTCTCATGTTTTAATTGCCAATTCGAAAATTCTGAATCAAAATTAAAAGGGATGATAAATAATATTTAAAAGGGTTAATAATAATTAGATCCATATGTAATCAAACCATGTTCTAAAAGTAATAAAAAGTACACTATAAAAAGCTAATAAATTGCAAATCCTGCATTTTTACGTAGGTAGAGCCATGTTACAACTACATTACGAGTATTGTTGTAGTTGTTGTTAAAGAATTTTAAACGATTAGATTTAGAATTAAAAGGTTTAAAGAATCATAATATGACTTCTATCCGATGTGTTCCTGCCCTCTTGTTTTTTTAACACTAGTAATGCTATTAAACATCACTTATATTCCCTTCAAACACCTGTGGTAAGCTTAAAATGCTTGTGTTAGAAGTGGTTCACGACAGTAGTCGAATGGCGGATTCGAACCCACGACCTTTCCAGTTCGCGGTCCGCGCCCTAGCATTAGGCTACTGACGCTTCAATATTTACAGTATAACCAATGATGATTAGTAAGCTGCAGTAGCTATGGCTTACCAGCAACGCAAAGTTAGAAATTTGCATTTAGAAAAACCAAGTTTAAAAATTAGGTGCTTTAAATTTTCACCGCCCTGAACTGTTGAAATTTGCGTTGCTGGCAAAACGTAACGCAGTGACGATAATAGATATCCGATAAATATTAATAGCAAGGAATTAAGTGCTGCAAGTATAGGCAATGACAAGGCGCCCGTAATATAAATAAAGTCGTTATTCAGAACAAAGCAGATGCAAAAATCAGGTTTTCTGAAAATTAGAATAGAATCAAATTTGCTTTTAGAAAAAGCCTAATTAGGGGCTTTTTAGGTGCTAATTAGGTACCAAGTTTAAAAATTTGTTTCCCTAAAATTTTCACCACAACGAACTGTTGAAAGCGTTGCTGGCAAATCAGTGGCAAAACAACGCAGTTACGATAATGGCAGTGCTAATTAAGTACTGCAAGATT